CTGCTCGACTGGAGATTCCTTTGTACACACACATTCTCATCCAGAGCTGCTTTCTTTCACAGAAGACACTTGGATGGGGCATGAAAGTATAAATCTCAAGCCCAATGAGACCATTTAATCAACTGCTCAGAATTTATTTTCAGAGCAAGAGGGAAAGAAGAGAGAAGGAAGGAGAAAAAAAAGAAGAAGGGAGGTGGGAAAGAGAAAGGGAAGAAAAAGGGGGAAAAAGCTTGTAAGAAACACTAAACCTTGAAGCGTCTCCTTGTATGTTTGTTTATTTCATCATAGTCTACTTACTGTCAGGACTGTGGATGCACACTATATTCAAGGAAGAAAATGACCTAAGAATCATAAAGGTAAATACAAAAACTCTGCTCTTTGGTGTTTAAAGGAACATTCACTTAGTAAAGTTACCAATGGCTACACAGACACTGCTTGAGACAGAAGTGGGGTAAGAGAGAAACCCCACCTCTACTCAAACTGCCTCTGAATCAAGAAAATATAGAATTTTTACTTCACATCATCCCTGTTAGAAAACTATTGGGTTACTTCCAAATGTTTAACTTTATATTATATTATGTCATCTCCAAATTTCAACATTTGGACAATTGTGTTTTCCAATTGATAAAACTACACACAGTTTTCTGAACAACACAGAGAAATTTATTATCATTTAGTCTTAGTCTTTTTGAAAATTTAAAATAATCAACAGTGTAAACTCCCAAAGAGAAATACATCAATAGCATAAATCAAACAGATCTGGCACAGTAACATAAGTGAATAGATGGACACAGCTGTAAAATAAAGCCATTCATTCTGGGATTTTTTTCTTCCACATGTTTGATGTCAGCAGCCCAGAAATATTCAAGGTATCCTTCGAAAGTATTTTTTTTTTTTTATCACAAATTGAGTTAGAACCTTAGCTTGGAGGAGGAGAGATGACCACTATAAAACCATTGAGGTTGACATTGACACTTGGGAATGAGAGCTTAAGGCCTGATTGGCGATTGGCGTTCATTCAATACCTGCCTTTGAGCAATCCCTGGGCCACCTGCTTTATCACCTGTCAGATGGCTCAGTAGGGAGAGAGGAGAGTCAGGAAAACTTCTCTTACGCATACTCTTTTCTCTCTCAAACTGCTTCTGTAACAGGACACGGAGTGGACACTCTATTAGTTGCGCTGCTAAATTGCTCCAATTAGTAGACATATATCATGTACCAGAGAACCAAAGTGATTATGGTAATGCAGACTGCCAAGTGCTTCTGAGAAACACAGCCCAGCAGGCCTGTCTCCGCTTTCATTCCTATTCCATTAACACCGCTCCCGGACTCCATTTATAAACAGCCTTGACGACCATAAAACCGTCACTCCCTGAATCTATTTATGAGCCAGGGAAGCAATATCTTTCTTTATTGCTGGCCACCTCTGCTTGAGAGTTCCTAAAAGGACGCTCTTTCAGGTTCTCAGCTCATCAGCATATGCCAGCAGGACAGCAAGCTGGCATCTTCCAAGGAATGTGCAACCCACGCCTGCATCTGCCCCTTCCCCCGGCTCAGGGCCTCGGGGAGGGTCAGCAGTTGTTCTGGAGGCTCAGGGTGTTTATCTTCCACAGGCAGCTGAGCTGCCTCCCATTTCACGAGCAGCGCCGTGGAATGCAGTGGAAGAGACCCAGGCCGCTGGCCACCCAGATGAGAGAGTTTTGTGCTGAGGTCCCTATATGGTTGTGTTAGCCTGAACGACTAGCTCGAGTCTGTCTCTGTTCCTTGTTTGGGAAGCAAGTGGGAGGGGAGCAGGCCAAGGGGCTATATAACCCTGCCGCTTTCGTTCAGCTTCCCTGAACATCACCCAGAGCCGAGAAGCCCAGCCAGCACTGTCAGGGTAAGTGGCACTGCCCAGGACGGGACTTACCGATGCCAGAAGCTCTGATGCTCCCCAGGACCATCAGACTCTGTCCAAAGGGATTTGGCTGGGCTTAGGCACTCTGAAATGTTTGAATGAAGATTGTACTACTCGTGTGATTGTACTACTAACTTTTAGCTCTGATGACCTAACATGAACAAGGAGGCAAAAAAGCAGCTTGGTGTGGGGGAGGAGAGGTAGAGGGAGTTGAAATGAAATGTGTGTCACCTGTAAAATCTGTTTATGCTAAACCAACAGCCCAGATCTTGTAACACATTTCAGGGATGCAGTCTAGCTGTTTGCATTTTTTATCATTTGCATGAACCACCCATTTATTTATAGGTAGGCACTGGAAACTCCAGTATTTGGGGTTCAGATGTGATGTGGCGAGTCTTCATTGGACAGGATTTTGGGTGCAGCTGGACTTTGGCTGCCTGGTCTTTGGTGCTGGCTGTTTGTGTTTGTTTCTGGGCTCCTCTGCCTCTAACCGGTAGTGTCCTCTGTGGGGAAGGTATGCCTCTTGAATGTGTTGGAGAGCTTCCACATCAGCAATCGGTCTGGTCGCTGGGTGGTTTGCAGCAGAGCGCAACAAGAAACCAACTGAATCTGTGCAAGCAAAGAGGGAGGGGGCAGCACGAGCATCGGACAGCTGCCTGCACCGAAGCCTTTTGCATGTGCGGTCTGCATTTCTCTCAGCCTGCTCAGGCAGGCAGGACCTTGGAGCCCGCTCTGCCACCCTGGCTGAACTTTGCCATAAATCAGGGCTTGGCAGGTTCGGTCTGAAATGGGGAGTTTTCATGCTGCAATTTTTTTCCTTTCCATTTTGTGACTCATGACTAAATATGGTTTGCTTTTCAAGACAGAGGAGCTGGGAACTGCAACATTCTCTCCCTTCTCTCTCTCCTCTCCCTCCCCCCCCCTCCTCCCACCAGCTACTCATTTTTGGCACAAGATGCACTCGGTTGGAGCAAACCCCCTGACCCGGGTGCAGTTCCAAAAGCAGAGTCGGAGTGTGTTTTACCTAATTAGGAAATGCTGTGCGTGCTCCAGACCGTCTTGCTCAGGCAGGTTAGATAAGAGCTGGAAATCACGGAGCCACTCCTTTCCCGGGACACAGACTCCTTCTGTCAGGACCATGCTCCTTTTAGACATGATAAAATCCTTCCGGGGCTTTTTTTTCCTCCTAAATGAAAATATATTTACTGAATTTTGAGCTTTTTTTTTTTTTTTTTTTTTTTTTTTGTCTGCATGCTAGCTGATGCTGAGGGTCTACCTATTTTTTCTGCAGTGAATTCGAACACTTCCCCCAACCCCTCCCTGCCCAACAAAAGGACATGTATTCATGCTGAACATCCCATCACATTTGTATTGTGTCCTTTCCCAAACTTGTTATCCCGTTTTCAGCTCTTGCTTTTGGTTTGGAAAGTGCTTAGCACATGTGAAGAGAGGCTGTGATCCTGGTGCCGGCAAATGCCTTGGACCCTTGACTGCTTCTCTGACCTGTCTCCCTTGCACTCATTTCTCACTTCTCTCCTAGCCTCTTCATCGGCTAGAGAAGAAGCCAAATCCCACAAGGAAGGGTGAGAAAAGAAAGGGCCAGCCATTTACGAGCTCGGTTTTCCATTCTTACAAATGTTGAGGGTTTCCTTCCTAAGTTTGGAGGCATTGTGGAAAGAAAGCAAAAAACTAGCAATAAAAAGATCTGATAATGATAATAATTATATAATGCTATTAATAATAATCATTACAGAACAAATATTTATTGAGAATTCAATGTATATAGCACCATAAATTATTTTATTTTTAAGAAAGGTATTTTTAATGATATCAGAGAGAAAGTGAGAGGAAGAGAGATAGAAACATCAATGATGAGAAAGAATCATTGATTGGCTGTCTCCTGCACGCCCCCTACTGGGGATCAAGCTTGCAACCCAGGCATGTGCTCTGACCAGAAATCAAACCTCCTGGTTCATAGGTCAATTCTCAACTGCTGAGCCACACTAGCCAGGCCCATAAATTATTTTAAATGTTGTTGTTTTTTTAACCTTAACTGGAGCATATGTTTTTTTATTGACTTTAGAGAAAGGAAGGGGGAGAGAGAAACATTAATGTGAGAGAGAAACATCCATCAATTGTGATTGGTTGCCTTAGATTATATACCCAGACTGAGGAAGACAAAAACATACAAAATCCACCACTTCAAAATAGTCCCCATCAGGATCTTGGTATACATGACTAATCATTTTGTAATGTATAAAAATACATTTCAATGGGATCACCAATGTTACTTCTTCTAACCTATTTCTCTTACATAAGAATATACCTGTAAGCTTAGCCTTTTATTGATCTTTCTTAATGGCAGCAAATGGTGAGTAACTTATTAGATTCTCCCTCACTTGTTGGACTTTATATAAGTCATGATTTTTCTTAATGGAGAATAACTTTGGCCCTTAAAATTTAAAGCACCTGCTTATTAGAATGTTTTCATGGGCCTACTGTTTTACCAAGGGTAAAAATAAAAGTCCTTAAAATTCAAGATATTTTTCTTTTAAACGTTTTACATTAAACATTTCAGCCATTCAACATTTCCAAATTGTTCATATTGCACATCCTTCAAAAATCTACATTTTTGAAAGAATTTTTTAAGTTATAGATAAAGAAATGTGAATTTGAGTGGATACGGGCAGCAAATTTCACTTACTTCTTTAACATGTGACTAGTAACTTGTCCCTATGATGATCTGGTCTCATAGTCTGATATTCCCAACTGGTCTCTACAGCTGTTCATTCATCCGCTTATTTAGTCAGTGTTTAAAGTGCTTAGGAACAAGTGAGACATGCCAGCCACTGTGCTGGAGGCCAAGTGTATGAACACGACTGGAAGAGTTTTGACTTATAAAAAGCCAGAAGTCCAATGAAAGTGCTTTGAGATAAACGTGTTAGATAAGGGACAGCTGAGGGTGCCCTAGAAGCCCAGAGGAGGGGCCCCAAACCCAGCCTGGAAGGGGGGAGTGGTCAGGTCAGTGTCACAACTGCTGGATTACAGCTGGGGCTGCTTCCTCCCTGCTCCCTGCAGGACCTTGTGACACATTCCAGCCGAGATGTGTGAAGAAGAGGACAGCACCGCCCTGGTGTGTGACAATGGCTCTGGGCTCTGCAAGGCGGGCTTCGCTGGGGACGATGCTCCCAGAGCTGTTTTCCCATCCATTGTGGGACGTCCCAGACATCAGGTGAGCAAGAGTCTGTTTGGAACAGAGAGAAACAGGGCTATGGATTAGGCCTCTCTATGTCTGAGTGTCACTGGGTAGCCACAGATTGTCTATTGCTTGCTTTCCCAAAATTATGTAACCTTGCTAAGAATATACCTCTAGTGGTTAATGTCAAGAAATAAATACCAATTTTATATACAATACAGATTATCTGGTGGGTGTCTTTCAGATATAAGTTTGCCCTTTTTTCGTAAGCTTTTTTTTTTTTTGTAAATATAATCACTGTCATTATCATCATCGTCATCATTATCATCATTATCATCCTCTAATATATACCTGCTCTTTGGAAAGAAATTATACTAAAACCTAGGTCATTCACTCTCAAAGAGCTTGATGTTAGATGAAAGTAATCTTTGTTACCAACTGTAATTTTACACACTGTCAGCTGTCAATAAAATATATCTGAACAGCCACATGGTAATTTTTTACATTATATTTTGTATAAACAAAATGTTGGTGCAGCCACATGGTAATAAACTGAGAATTTTGTCCCAGAAATTTTCCTTCCCATCAGAAATGTATTTTGCGCATTGATGTCTATGGCTCTCAATTTGGTGTATATTCTCAAACAGCTGAAGCCTCGCCCAATAAATGAATTGTCTCTTTGTTGAACTGTGCGCAGTGGAGATATTTTGCACAAACCACTCTACGGATCTATAGTAGCCATGACTGTTTTTGCAGTTCTAGAGCAGTCACTATAGTGCAATTGAACATTCCAGTAGTGAGAATTCTTTTTTTCCCTTTTTAAAGTGTCTCCTTAATGATTAAAAAATTCATCTGACAAATGTCTTAATGTTGATTAGTATTGGTCAGAAATCAAGCAGTGGTGGTCATTTATAGACATACTGCTTCAGGCTGGATTAGAAATGATATTCAGCTTCAAAAGAACAGTTTATGAGAAATGAAATGTCACTTAACTTATATGTAACATTTCATGCATTTATTCAACAAACAATTATTGCATGACAAATATGTGCCAGGCAATTTGTTATAGCAGCAAAGCAGACAATCTCTCTGCCCATCAAGGATCTCAGAAAGTACAACACACAGTTCAACTTGCGTTACCCAGAGGGTCCTCTGCCATCTGGAGGCTGATTCAGGCCTATTTCCAATCAACTCAGGGATGTTGTTTAAGAACACAGTGATCATAGGACTCTATATATTGCTCTTGGTTCCCAGTAATTTAACCCATTGTGACTGGACTGTCATTAATGCATACATTTGGGGAGAGGCTGACTCGAAACGAATCTTTTTAGGGAGTGATGGTAGGAATGGGACAAAAGGACAGCTACGTGGGTGATGAAGCACAGAGCAAAAGAGGCATCCTGACCCTGAAGTACCCGATAGAACACGGCATCATCACCAACTGGGACGACATGGAAAAGGTATTGGTGCTTCGCTGCAGGTTGAGCCCTCAGGCTGCAGGGCCCTGGTTCTAACCATCTTGGGCAGTGGCCCAAAGGGGAGGCAGGTAGGGTGGGGTGGAGGCTGGAAGCAGGGTGACCTGCCTTCGTTTAGCATACACCGCAGAGGGAAACTTCCCTAAAGAATTGAAAAGGCAATTAGGTCTTCAGTCAGCTTCATCCTTCCATTCATGTTTTCATTCATTTGTCCTGTTACTTAACTAAATCATTTCCCCAGGAGCATTAACAAAAATAGAATGAGGGGTTCAAGAAGATGAAGAATAACTTTTATTCTGGGCCAGGTACTGGGCTAAACACTAACTCTAGGGTTTCCTTATTTAATTCTCGCCAAGTCATGCTAACGATTTTCGTATTAACCATGGTGAGACTGGAGCTGAACGGGGTTAAAGATTGCCTAAGGGCACACAACCAAAAAGTGGCTGGTCTGGATTTGAACTCAGACCTGACTCCAAAGCCTGTACCTTACCCACTACGCCATCCTGCCTCACAGATCTGGGTTTGGGTTTTTGCTCATTTATCTACTGGCTATAAATCCCTGGGTAAATTACTGGAGAGTAATTTACCTCATTGGTTAAAACGTAGACACATAATGAGTACTTGTCACATTTTATTTGGCCCCAGTTTCATGAAGCTCATGCTGGTCCCTTTTCGGTGTGTGCTGTGCCCCAACATCACATCATTGTGCTTCTCCTCCATTGCTCCCCCTAGATCTGGCACCACTCTTTCTACAATGAACTTCGTGTTGCCCCTGAAGAGCATCCAACCCTGCTCACCGAGGCACCCCTGAACCCCAAGGCCAACCGGGAGAAAATGACCCAGGTAAATACGCACTCTGGGGCCCAGCACTTCAGGTTTGGGAAAGTCCATTTGGAAGGGGGTGTAGAGGACAGCAGAGAGCTGGCCCAGCCCTGCAGTCCCCTCCAGACCCACAATGTCCCAGGAACTTGGGGATGCCAAAGGACAGGAGCATCCTAATAGTACTCACATTCTTACTGCAGGAGCTATTTCCCTCTGACTTCCACGAGCTATAGGGCATTTAAAAGATTTCATTTAGGTTCAAAACTTGTAAGGAGAAGGCATTTCAAAATGCAGGACAACACACAGTGGGGAATTTTTGTTCTGAAGTTAGACAGATGTAGGTTTAAAAACTGGATCTGTCAGTTATTAGCCATGTAACTTTAAGCAGCCCACTTAATTTCTCAGAGCCTCAGTTTCTTTGTTTAAAAGTTGGGACTATCAGTACTATTACTTTTCAAATGCTTGATGTAAAGATTCATGAGGCACAATGTGAAATGTGTACCTTGGTGTTTTGTACATGGCATATTCAATGAGTAATAGTATTACCGTCATTATTGTGACTTATAACAGGAAACCACCCATTCCAGCAGCCAGACAAAGATTCCGGTTTGGGTGAGCTATGCAATTAAAACACCTAATTCAATTTCATGCTCACTGTAGTTAAGCATTGGGCCAAGCATTTTATATGCACAGTCTCTTTAAATCTTAACAATGTGTGAAGCAGAACGTGTCATTATCCCAATTGCATAAATGACAAAATTGAGACTCAAATACATTAAGCGAATATCCCAAGGTCACACCATAGAAGTGGCTGGAATTGACCCACAATCTTTGGGGCTTGGAGAATAACACATGTAAAGACTGCAAGGCCTTTTCCTGGGAGGAGCTCCCAGTGCTTACAGCAACATGAGAGCAGCTATTATCTAAAGGGAAACATGTGCCAGGGAATCGCTCCAGGTAGCCAATGTTGTTTCCAGTAGACACCATTGTTTGTGTGAATGGCATGGAGGCAGGAAAATAGTTGAGAATGATGGCTCTCTAGCAAATGATGTCAGACATTCTAGTGAGCAGTCAGAGCTGGGAGGGTTTTGCAGATGGAGAAATGGAGGCCCGTGAGCATCTCAGTGTGCATGAACTTGCCACATGTGACACAGAGTAGCTCTTGCTCTAATGTTGTCCCTGCACTGCAGGAGCTGGGTGGTATGTTGGCCCTCATAATGTGGTCCTCTGCCAGGAAACAGGGCTCCTTCCACCGCAGCCAGAGAGACCTCAGAATCTAGCGCTGGCATTGACCCAGCAACTACATAAAAAGTGGAACCAATTACATAGAACCGCAGACAAACCACAGAAGTAGGCCAATCACAGCCCATCAGAGCCTCGGGTTTAAAGGTTTCTTCCTTAGGACAGAAAAGCCAAGATCTGCCTTCACCAACAAGATTAACAGCGTCACTCATTGAGTTCTTGGATTGCTTTGCAGATCATGTTCGAGACGTTCAATGTCCCAGCCATGTATGTGGCCATTCAGGCGGTGCTGTCCCTCTATGCCTCTGGACGTACAACTGGTAGGTACCTGAGAGGAATGGGAGCCTTCACCGGATATACCATCAGTCATGGGATTTGATGGTTGTAAGTGGGAGGGTTGTGATGACTGAGGGTTACTGAAAATTGACAGGGCCATTCTAGGCCTAATAGGTCTATTGTCAACTTTTAAAAATGAGCCCTCAAGCTCGTAGTAGAACAGGACTTCTGTTGTTTCTCTCTTCCTACTCTTTCTTTTCCCCGAATCTGTTCCTCCTCTCCTAGCTTTCTTTTATTTCTTTCAAATAAGAAGCTTAGAAATGTCCTCTCTCCTAGACCAGCAAGTCACATGTGAACTGCTGTTGTGACTTTTATTATGCTCAATCGTCCTCCAGGCATCGTGCTGGACTCCGGAGATGGTGTCACCCACAACGTGCCCATCTACGAGGGCTACGCCCTGCCCCACGCCATCATGCGTCTGGACCTGGCTGGCCGAGACCTCACCGACTACCTCATGAAGATCCTGACGGAGCGTGGCTACTCCTTCGTGACTACGGGTGAGGCCCGTGGGAATGAACGGAAGCAATGTCCTTCCTAGTAACTTACAGACCACAGTGACTACCCAAGGAAATGATAGGCTGCAGAGCCAAGCATGGCTTTTTCTTTTTTTGATTGGATAAAATCACAAAGTGATTATGTCGTTTCCTTGGAAAAACAGTAATAGCCATCTTGTATGATGAACTAGTCAGGTTTTCCGAACAGTTTTTAGTCCTCTCCACTCACAAATAGAAAAGAGAGAGTGCAGAGACTGAGAATAGTATGCATAGTAATTAGCAATCATTTGAGACATCTAGACAAAGCTTAGGGGTTGATTCTACCACTCACTAGCTGTGTGACCTTGAACAAGGTCCCCAGCCTCACTAAGCCATAGTCCCTCTGGTGATTGTGAGTGGTAAATGAGATAATGCACGTGGAAACCCAGCACAGAGTGAGCATGCAATAGTAATTAGCGGGTATTAAGAACAGCCCAGCAGGCAGTGAGATGTGTATCTTGGGACTCTGAACTAGTGCCACCTGGTCTCCACCAACAAGAAGCAGCGTCAGATGTTATAGAGACTTTGGGACATCCTCTGCATCCTTGGCCCTGGCTACCTGCCCTCCCCTCACCAGTTTGGTATTGTCTAAATGTGTAAGTTTCTGAACATGCCCGTGGACTATTCTAGGCTCCAAGTTTGAGCCCTGAAGATATTAAAGTCTTCTCTAGAAGTAGGAAGTTAAATTAATTTTGTTCCCGACTCTACGTCCTCCAAGGACCCCCAAGATACTTCCAAAAGGTTCTCAGGGTCCAGATAGCTTAGAACTTTGGAATGCAGGAATCCAAAAGGTGTCTGCCTGCCCTCTCTTCCACACCTCCTTCCACACGCACCTGGAGACTCCTGGACAGGACTGGTCCTGAACCAGGCTTGCCTCTCTCTAGAAGATGATGAATATGTCAGTGGTTTGAATTGGAATCTACCTGGCCCAAGACACATGGGTCTCCAGAGCTTTTTGAAAACAGTGAGGGCTTCCAAAAGACATTTTCAGCATAAGACTTCCAGGTCAGCCGGAAATCCAATATAACTGACTGTTGTAAAACTTTATAACAGAGAGTGATCAGCGAGTCCTGCAAAAACAACCTACAAAAGGATTTCCTGCTCTGTGCCGTTCTCTAGCCAGCTCCTTTTATTCCTGTCACCATTTGCTAGGTGATATTTACTAAGGGTCTATGGTGTGTGAGGCACTCTGCTAGGAACAGAAGTGGTTCCCTGATGCACCTATAATTGAATTAGCATCATGGATTCGGGGTTGCAGAATATTGAACTTACATACTGTTTTGAAGGAACCAGCCCTGTGGGAGGGACTGAGGTAGGAAGGGTGGTTTTTACCGCCTGGGCAAACCCTAATGTTTGTATCTCAACAGCTGAGCGCGAGATTGTCCGAGACATCAAGGAGAAACTGTGCTATGTAGCTCTGGACTTTGAGAATGAGATGGCCACTGCTGCATCCTCCTCCTCCCTCGAGAAGAGCTATGAGCTGCCAGATGGGCAGGTGATCACCATTGGGAATGAGCGCTTCCGCTGCCCGGAGACGCTGTTCCAGCCTTCCTTCATCGGTAGGCAACGGCGTCATATCCTGAGATGGAGAGATCACCCTATCCCCCTTACTCAGCCAGCCTTCAGCCACCAGTGCTCTTCTGCATGTGGGGACATGTGACAGGGCCATAAGGCCAAACACACTTCTAAACCACAACAAAGAGGGTCATATGTATCAAGTGAGAAGACTTAAGAAGGCCAGGAAAGGACTTTTCATTCCAAGCAACACTATGTAGTAGTGAATCCAGCATTCATGGTGTATGCTTTAGGGTGAAAGTCAAATATTATTCATGCGTAGGACATTCGAGCCACTGGATGGATGGGAAGGGTGTACAGAATGCTGAGAGTTTGGGAATGGAAGGGCAAGAGAAAAATGGAAGAGCCTGTCCCTACATTAGCACTGATCTCGAGAGAAAGTTTAGCAGAGCTGTTTACAGAGGGCAGGCTCTGGGAGGGGTGAGCTTGGGTTTGAGTATTAGTTCTACTTTCGTGTTCTTGGGAAAATCACGTAACTTCCCCAAACCTCAGTGTCCTCATCTGTAAAAGGAAGATTGTAACAGTGTCTATGTCATAGCGTGGCTGTGATAATTCCATGAGATATGAGTGGAGCACTTAGCCCAGTGGCTGGCCAAAGCAAGCTAGCAATAATCATTAGATATTGTTAGAAATTAATAGTTAGGTATTATTATTATTATTATTATTATTAATATTACTATTTTTATTATTCATCATCACAGCACTGCAAAAGATAAAGGGCTATTAGGAGGTTTTGTTTAAAAGAGCCACATCAGAAATTAACAAAAAGCTCAGATTAAAAAAATTTACCAAAATGGAAGAAAGATGCATCTTTGTGCAAATGGCATGAGCACTTTTCTGATGGTTCAGCTTCAGGGGTGAGAATGAGGCAGCAGCCAAGGAGAGACTTGGGGGAGTTGTGAGCATTGGCTGCGACACTGGCTCAGTGTGCAGCCTTCTACAGGGAGTCTCAAGACTTTGCCCCTGATTCAAACCAGACTTAGTAATGAGTATTAAAAATCGGTGCCATTACAGTGCAGCCCACCCCCCTCCTCCCAGCAGGGCCTTCTCACTAGACAAGAGGTAGGAGCACATGGAGCATTACAAGGACCTTTTGGTCTCTGCGATGGGAGGTTCCTCGATTATCATGTCTGCTTCGCTTCAGTTGGTGTAAGATCTTCCATGTAGCTCTTCCTTGTCTGACCTGGGTCTACCCACCCACCAACGACCATGGCCTGTGTCTCTTTTCCAGGGATGGAGTCCGCTGGCATCCATGAAACCACCTACAACAGCATCATGAAGTGTGACATTGACATCAGGAAGGACCTCTATGCGAACAACGTCCTCTCAGGGGGCACCACCATGTACCCTGGCATTGCTGACCGCATGCAGAAAGAGATCACGGCCCTGGCACCCAGCACCATGAAGATCAAGGTACAGTTTGGTGTCAGCCCCCCCCCCCCAACCCCCTGGCTGTGCTGCTGGTGCCAGCCCTGTCACCAGGCGTGAAAGACTCCGTAGAGGCCACATCTGGGTCACATGTGTCATGGCAGAGGGACCGGGTGCACAAATTCTACACCTTCTAAGACATAAGTCAATCCAGCTCATAAGAGAAGTTGAATTATCTTGTACAACATTTAATCTGTAATTATTCTTGCCTATCACCTATGATTAGCCGCTGTGATAGAGATCAACAAAACTGCCCATGTGCCCATTTCTCTTTAAAATGCATATTTGGTTGTGTTTCCTCATCACAAAATAGTGCATCTCATGTGTAGAACATTAAGAAAAGTGACAGAGGAGGCAGATATATTTCTGAAGAGGTTTAAACCCTGTGCATTCAATACCATGCACTCTTCTTCCCCTACTAAATGTGAGCACCTCGCAGTGGCCGGGAATGAGAATTTGATCTTTAGCTGTCTGTCTGGCACACCTTTTGATATAGGGTCTCAAAAGCACAGGATGACCAAGCTCAGTCCTGGAGCCACCCAGGATCCCTGTATTATATCAGGTTTGAGTCCCAGTCAAGGCAGCTGAGCAGTTAAACAGAGATAACTCTCTGGAGGCAGTCTCACAGAGGGCTGGTGACTTCTCACAGGCTGTTATTGCTCTGTGACATCAGAGGCTGTGCTGGCACCCTCCTGCCCTGGTCACATGGAGCAGTAGAAGGCGGGGTGCAGGTGCAGTTCACACACATGAAAAGCTCTGTTCTTTGCACTCCCTTCTCCTTTTTTGGGAAAGGGTATGCAGGTCACATGAAAGAGTGCTGGACTGAACGACTTTGTAGTGTCGGCTCTGAGAGACTGCAGGTGGGAGATGAGACTGTTTTCTGAGGACTCTGCTCTACTCCCACTACCTCTCTTTTCTCCCCAAAGGGGAGCCAGGCGAACCCAGCTGCTGAGTTCACGGACAAAGGCAGCCTAGGCTGGGGGTATGTTACAGAGAAGCTGTAGCTTGAGTTGCATAATTCCTAGTTCTCCAAACTTGCCTTCTTGAATAGAATGAATGTGGAACTTTGGGCTCCAGTGTAGTAAGAGAAAGCTATTAAGTCCCAGGACATAGATCATGACATTAGGGGAAACAGAAACTGGAGGACGGGTTTACAGGAACTCTGTGTACTAGCTTCACAACTTCCCTGTAAATCTAAAATGATCCCAGATAAAAAGGTGACTTTTAAAGCAACAAAACCAAACCAAGAAACACCTGGGAGAGGTCCGAGTTTGAATATTGGGTCTGACGTGCACACAACCAGCATGAGCTAGCCCAGTTACTTAAACCTCTCCCAGTCTCTGTTTGCTCATCTGTAGTATGGGAGTAATTAAATACTTACTTTTAGAAATAGTTAGGAAAATTAAATGGGCCCTGTGGTGGGAATGTTGTCTCATACACCAAAATGTAGTGAGTTTGATTCTCGGTCGGGGCACATGCCCAGGTTGCAGGTTTGATCCCTGGTTGAGACTTGTGCCAGAGGCAACCGATCTCTTTCTTTCAATCTCTCTCTCTCTTCCTATCTCTAAAACCAAATTTTAAAATAATTAAAAAATTTAAAAAACTAAATCAGATAATACATCTCAGGACAAATGCTTAGCATAGTGCCTGGTACATAACAAATACTCAATAAATATTAACTATTTATATTAAAAATAAATATTCAGACAGAGCTTGTGGGGGATACACAGAAATTAGACCTTTTTTTTTTTTTTTTTTTTTTTTTTTAACCATGGTTTCAGAAATGCCTTGTCTGTTTGGCCGAAGTGTCCATAGTCATTTCTACCCAAATATCCAAGTCTGGAATGGAACTTACCACAGCCATTTTGGGGTTTGTTGCAGGTAGACAAGACTCCTGGCCTGATTCACCAGTCTCTGCACCTCATTCAAATATTTAAGAAATATTAGTATATTAAATATTACCATGTCAGGCCTCTGTCAACCAGTGCAGGTTACCCAGGACCTGTCCCAGAAGAAAGGTCACCCCAGTTGGGAGCTCTGAGCCCTTCACTGTTACACAGTGCATCTCTGTGGAATTAACCAAGTGGGAGCAGTAAGGGGGGGTGGTCAGGTTGTATTGTAAATTCTGGCACAATCCAAACTTTTCAAGGAAGACTCAGGTGGTTGTTTCTATAGAAAGAAAGCATGTTGTGCTGAGTGCTGAGGCTCAGCTCATGGAAATCAAAGACATCATCAGGCCACTTAAGTGGAGGTCTTGCAGGGTTTGGGGCCAACTTTCAGCTTGCCCACAGAAGATTGGATGTGGTGGGGTGCTATGGGTGCTTTGGAATAGACTGTAAAGGAAGCCAGAAAAACAAATGCGCTCTATGAAGAATCTAAACCCAGAAGCTATTCACAGTCCCTTGGGTTAGGGTTAGGGTTAAGGTTAGACATCTGACAGCCCAGACTGTCTCTGATGTTCATGAGACCTCAGCCAGATCCACCAAACATGGCCCCGCCTTAGCTCACTAATACCCTCCTTTCTCATCTTGACCAACAGATCATTGCCCCTCCGGAGCGCAAATACTCGGTCTGGATCGGCGGCTCCATCCTGGCTTCTCTGTCCACCTTCCAGCAGATGTGGATCAGCAAACAGGAGTATGATGAAGCCGGGCCATCCATTGTCCACCGCAAATGCTTCTAAAATCCTTCCCTGCTCTCTTTGTTTCTAGCACACAACTGTGAATGTTTTGTGGAACAATGCCTTCAATTTTTCTCCATATCATTCCTTGCCAACGCTCTGACTTGTCGCCTATGTGTTTTTTAATAAACCTGAACTCTGTTGCCTGTCACCTGTAGCCTTGGCCTCTCCTCAGCACCCAGATGTGGCACAGTTGTCAGGCTGACCTCACGGTCTGCAGAATGGCTCCCTCTAGTGGGGCTGCCGGGGACATGACACGACTAGGATGCGTGTGTTACTACACAGAAAAGGGTAGAATCGCATTCATATGAGAAGTTCCGACTAAATGATGTTAGTGGAAAGACCTTGAAAATACATAGAAGATAAATATAAACGTAGATTAAAATGTTTCAGTAGGATAATCCACACTGATTTTACAACATGCGGAGTAATTATATTACTTCGCTCTGTTTAAACCTCAGTTAGCCTAACCCAGCTGGCGTGGCCTATAAACCAGGAGGTCACGGATTGGTTCCTGTGAGGCAGTCGATCAATGATTCTCTCTCATCATTGATGTTTCTCTCTCTTCCTCTCTGAAATAAAAAAGAATATATTTTTCAAAATTTCAGTTATCCTAAAGGGTATGTGTGTGTGTGTGTGTGTGTGTGTGTGTGTGTGTATACTTGAATGATTATAAAGTCAGTGTTTATTAATATACAGCTCGTTTTCAAAATTTAAAATAATCTACAGAAATAAGTCTTTAAAAATATTTATTATTATTTTATTTTTGTCAATGCCTGTTTTCAAATCGATGACCGTTCTGGTCCAGGCACTGCTGATAATGCAACGCAATGGAATTGCAAACATCAAGACTCATTTCATTTGGTAATTGTGGGCTCTCAATTCATCAACTATTGCTGCTTTTATACCATAAACTTTATCTTTTATGTATCCCCATAAAAAAAGTCTATTGGCACTTTAGGATAAATTTTCTTTGTTCAAAGCCTAGTCTGGCTTCACCCATTATTTCAAATCAGTTAAACCTGAAAAGGAGTGAAAATTAAGTGAGTTATCAGTTTTTATTTATTTTTTATTTTTTAATATATATTTTTATTGACTTTGGAGAGGAAGGGAAAGGAAGAGAGGAAATAGAAACATCAATGGGGAAAACCATCAATTGGCTGCCTCCTGCATGTCCCGTACTGGGATCCAGCAGCAACCCAGGCATGTGCCTCTGACTAGAACTGAACCTGGGACCCTTCAGTCTGCAGGCCAACACTCCATCCACTAAGCCAAACCAGCCAGGGCGAGTTATCAGCTTTTAAAGTGTGTATACATTTTGTGGGGACACCCTATATATTTATACATACACACAAATATGACTTCTGATATACAACATATTAAACTTAATAAGTATATATTAAAAGAAGATATGACTTTAAGTTTATTAGAGGAAACTGATTTGAAAAACATTAAGAAACACGGTTCCAAAATCTCATTACACATCTGGAGCATCTGTTTCCCTTCTCCAGATCAGTATCTGTCTCTGGAAGGATACTAAAGACAGTTATACCAGAAGGGATGCGACAGGGATACTTTCCAAGGACCACTGGAAATCATCCTACAAAGAATTTTACACATAACCTCATTTATTTTTCTTCATAACTGTCTGGTGAAAATATTATTGTCATGCTCATTTTATAGATGAAGGAATAGAGCTGCCATCTTCAACTTCTATTCTACCCATCTGACCTGGGAGGTGCAATGATGTATAAAAACACCTTCCCTGTCCTTAATGGTCTTCGTCTCAAAGGGCTTTTCTACCCAGGCAGCTTAGCATCACAAGAGGCTTCCTAGCAGGGAGCTACTGGTCCTTCTGTGTGTAGCCACTGATTGTCCTGTCTATAGCAGCATCTAAATATAGAGACCTTGGGACCTAAGATTTAATGCTCATTTGGTCTAGACATCCAAGCTTCCCCTGGATGGCTCTGGCCCTATGGCTTGAGTGAATTAGGATTGATACTATAAATAATTAGAGCTGGCTACCTATCATGACCAGATTCTGTACCAAGCCCTCCCCCCTTTTTTAATTGGGTTTGGAGGTGCCCAGGCAAGGCCCAGCTGTGAAGCAAGGCAGGTTGACTCTATACCAGGTTTTGGGCCTTTCACTGATAGGGTTGGAGCATGCTGTCACCAGCTGTAACTTGTTTGAGAGATTTTAGCAAAGTCTCAAGCCCTTTATATTAGGACTTCATTTTATCCTACAGCAGCCCAATGGACCAGGTATTCTTACTGCCTTTCTACAGATGGAGCAAGGGAAGCTAGGAGTGGTTAAGGAATATACCTAATATCATACTTGAGCTTGCTTCCCAACCCATACTCAGCCAGCATTTCTCAAAGAACAGGCCACACAGATAAAACTTATGAGGGGGTCAGTTTTAAATGGTGAGATTCCTGGGCTACAGCCAAAGCTGAATTAGAACCTCTGGAGCTGAGGCTAAGGACCTTAGTTTCAATCCTATTTCTCTGGTGATTCTTCAGCACATCTATATTTGAGAACCACTGTAACATGCTATGATTGAGGGATATTTTCCAGTTGTAAATGTATGCTTATCAGGCAAGGAAACTTCAAACCCACTAGACTTAAAGTGAAGGATTCGTGTATAGACCACTTTCATAATTTAAGGAAAAGCACCAACCATTCCCATCACCACTTCAGGTTTTACTGAAATAAAAGTCTGTGTACTGCTGTTTACCCACTAGAGGGCGCGAGCTCTCTGGTAAAGGAATGGGCGCTTAGCAGAGTCTCAAAGAATCAAAAGCGGTCGTGGCCAGAGGCAGAAATCAGGAAAATCAGAAATATCCACTAAATGTGCCCTAGTGAAATGTCCTTTCCTTGCGAGCACCTAGCTGCAGTGACTGCGCACCCTCTCCCATCAAAAACCAGTATCGTCTCCCCTTGATGATGCCTGTGACTTGAAGGGCTGAACAAGAGGCAGTCTCATTGATGAGCCTCACGTGACGGCAGCGTGTAGACGTGGCTGCCTCCTGAATCTATTCTCTCCCCTAACAATAGCAAAACAGTCTTCTATGATTATCAATCTTCCCCACAATAGGCACCTGATTCACATTAAATAGCCTTTTTTTTTTTTTTTTTTTGAGCAGACAGGTGGGAGGAAGCGTTACTATTTTTTTTTTTTAAGTGAATAATCCTCGGTTGTCAATCAGCATCATTGTGCAGTGAGTCTCTTTAGTAGGACTTATGACACACAGCAGTCTGAGGTATTTCCCACTGCAGGGAGGGAGGTGGCTCTCAAGGCCACACAGGATGTAGATTATAACATAGGGAATATAGTCAATAGTATTGTAATAACTATGTATGAGTCAGGTGGGTACTTGAAATATCGGGGGAGCACTCTGTAAAGTACATCATTGTCTAGCCACTATGTGATATACCTGAAACTAATACAAAATAATACTGAATGTGATAGACAGACAATAAAAACTTTAAAAAGACTGAGTTAACTAGGAAAACAAGTGGGAGGAAGCAATGGGGGTGAGGTTAGGGCGGAGGATGCACAAGGACTGTGTTCAGGATAGAAGCCCAGAAGTGGGAGAGTATGCTGCAGAGGTGGAACTGGAAGTAGAATCCCCCCAAACTGGATCACACATAGACTTTAAAAATGCAACTATGACTTGACTATAATTTTCCAAATTAGCATTCATAACATTTTCTCTGCAAAATCTCTGTCTTGAAATCAGACCCCAATCACAAGCAATCAGGGAAATTTCCAGTGAGAAATTTGCCATCTCTGATTCATTTGCCATTCTCAAGCATTTCATCTCGCAGGTTAAATTATTTATCTGATTTTCAGAAATGCATCTGGGAAATGAACATCCAAACACTACCTCTCATTCTAATTTGTTTCTGAGGGACACAGCTAATATAAAATGTTCTTCGTGTAGTAACTTCACAGTCCTTAAAGACTAAAGAGAATATAAATGATTATGATTCGCCTGATTAGGTTTGTAATCATATGCTACCTTCAAGGACAGCCAGTGGTAGAACAAGCTCCTACACAGTGTAGTTAATACAGTTTTTCAGAGACCTGAAATTCTGTGTTCTTAAGCAGATTTCCTGTTCTTGGAGAAAAATGTGTGGCACTGTAGACACACCAAATCAAAAGATGCACTTCTCATATTCTTAGATCAGGCTTTCTATTTCTTCCCGTCCATATTTAGTTTGATCCTCCTTCTTCTGTCCTTTCGTTGTTATCAATTATTTTCTCCCCTCCTTAGGTCTCTCTGCATATTCTACAACCTGAAGCTCCTTAAGAAATGGCCTAAAATCATTTAACTTCAGTCTTTCTTGGCAAAAATGGCTTCATCTACTCAGCAAAAAATATATTACGCAGGTGAATCCTATCCTACAAATTTAGAACAAGCCCTTGCTCTTAAAACAGGTTTGTGATTTCAGACGTATGTTCCACAGTAGTCAGTCTTCACCCTTCCAAATGCGTAAGCCTTGGGTTCAGTGGAAAGCAGAGTAATATTTTAGAGTGCTGCTACTGGGGGCTCTTGTTGGTCATTCTCTTTTTGTTTTTCTAATCCTACTAAGTCAAAAGAGTTGACCATCCTGAAAAAATAAAATTCTGCTTCTGCGCATGGTTTCAATGTGCAGAAGGCCTAGGACGGAAGTTCCACAATGATCAGGGAGTCTGTCATGAGAGTGGGTTCTAGCACTCTTTGGCATCTTCATCAACTCTGATTTGACTGTCAAAAATTTGACTTAAAAGAATTAACTCCATAATGTATCGCTCTATCTAAACCACAACGAGATAACCACTTCACACTTAAATAGTGTTGTAGATGTGGAGAAAAGGAAACTCTTATGTATTGCTGTGTAAAATGGTTCAGTTGCTGTGGCAAACACGTTGGCATAAAAAAGTTAACATACAGTTACACATGACCCTGCAATTCTATTCCTAAATATATATCCAACAAGATTGAAAACAGATACTGAAACAAACACATTACATACATGTTCATAGCAGTACTTATTCACAGTAGCCAAAAGATGAAATCAGTCCACACCTTCATCACTGGATGAATGGATAAACAAATTATGTAAACACATACAATGGAGTATTATTGAGCCCTGAAAAAAACAAAGGGCTGATGATACATGGCATAGTGTGGATGAACCTTCAAAAAGTTATAAGTTCACATATTGTATGGTTCCATTTATAGGAAATATCCAGAATAGATAAATCCATAGACAGAATGTGGACTGGTTACCAATGGCTGGGAAAAGTGGTGGTTACATAACATAGTGAATATCTTAAATGCCACTGAATTTTATCTTATGTGAATTTCACCTCAATAAGTTATTTTTTCTAATGAAACAAATTAAAAATGATGTATTTAGCTAGGCAAAACACGGATAGTTAAAACATGTTATTGCTGACAGGAATCTGCTAAATCAATAATACACACACCTCAGTTCTGTTGGTAAGGAAACCTTGCCTAAAGACAGGAATGGAACAAATGTCATCTAGTTGCTTGTTTTTTTTTTTGTGTGTGTGTGTGTGTTTTTATTTTATTGATTTTTTACAGAGAGGAAGGGAGAGAGATAGAGAGTTAGAAACATCGATCAGCTACCTCCTGCACATTCCCCACTGGGGATGTGCCCGCAACCAAGATACATGCCCTTGACCAGAATCGAACCTGGGACCCTTGTGTCCGCAGGCTGACGCTCTATCCACTGAGCCAAACCGGTTAGGGCTGTTTTTTTTTTTCTTATTCATCAGCCTTTGTATTAGTAGGAGACACAATGGGGCTTATTTCTTGAGCAATCTGTAAATGCGTTTCCTTCTGCAAAAGCTGTGGAGAAATTTTCAGCATCCTCTTCAGACTCAAGACTGCAGATTCACCATCATTTCTCTGTTACATCCAGGACCCAACCAGACAGTGGCTAATTGGAGTAAGGTTTCCCAGTCAATGTCTTGTATGCCAACCACAGCTTTCCCAGCCTTCACTCTCCTCCTGGCTTTATATCTGAGTTGCCTAAATGACCTTATCTGCATGTACTAGCACCTACCATGAAATTCAATGATTTCTGTTTTATAAAGAGAGGTATTCCCTGCACTGTGTGTGTGGACGAGGTAGCATCCCTCCCCCACTGGTCTACTCCCTAATACTAGTACTGCGTCACCCAGATCCTGCTCCAGTTCTCACGCAGGAAGAGCCTGCTATGGGTAGCTCAGTGGCTTGTTTCTGCCTTATGCCAACTTGTGGACTTGGAAATTTCAGATCCCAGACTATGGAACTAGAGTGTGGCTTGCCCTATGCGTGGGGCTTTGCATCTACAGACACCACCAGCTAAGGGTAGATTAGCGTTGCAAGTCCAGCTCCACAAACAACCCACACTTCCCTGAATAACGTTATCCTTGATTTCTTAGCAGATGAGGCCCATATGCAGCCACAGTTCTTCTCACATGTGGGATCAGCTCATCTCTAAGCACAGGGAAAGGTTGTGGAAGCAGATGGCCTGTCTCACAGACCACCTGCTACTCAGAATTCCTTGTTTGGAATTATATTTTATTGGAATGAGAAAAAAAATACAGCAAAACATCAAATGCTCTGAAAATGTACGCAGGGACCTCTTTAAATACTGGTCATATTATTGTTTGCAGCATAATTTATTATCTGCTCATGGTAGTTGGCTCCATTAATGAGTTTTGATTTAACATCATTGTGACCACTCTTGAGACAGAGCAACCCAAAAAGAAAACTTCAAAATGCACAAGAGCAATAAATATCAAACTTTCTGGTCTAAAATGTATAAATATAAAATATCAGTCACTTCTGGGAACATCTTGAGAAAATCCAGGGACCACATGTCCACGGGCAAGTATCTGGTGATGACGTTGCTAATTTTCAGAACAGGTCACCTCAGATCCAGCACAACTATTTTTATGTCTTTTACCAACACGTGTTTGCATACCTAGGAAATAAAAAATGTCTTTAGATCATAATGTTTAACAAAATTTTGGGGAGGGAATGTGAATTTCCTAATTTAAAAATGTACCTGATTTTTTTAAAAAAATATTTTCAATAAGAACAAATGTAATCATGCGTAACCATTTTTAACAAAAAGAAAATATTTACAGAGGCTGCCAAGTAACTTTTATTTAAAATAAATACTAACTTCAAACTAATGTTTCTCAGAGAACCAACAAGGAATCAGTTAGAAAGAAAAGTTGTAATTATATAATGTTTCTTTCAGACTACACAATGCTAATTAAGACGTTTTCTTTGAATCGCTATGAAAAAAATTTAATGTAGCCACATTATGTGGAAATCATTCATGAGACATTCAATATTGTTTTATTTAAGAATTGATTGCTTACTTGGAGTCTGAAGAAAACTGAATTTTAAGTATCACACAGTTACATAAATGGAAAGATGACATGGGCCAGTAAATAAAATTATAGGACAAATTACAAATAATAATTAATGTTCTAGATAAGAAAACTCCAAAATAAGCACTACAATGTTTTATCCCTATTATACTGCTTTAAAAAAAAAGTAAGGAGGTAAAAAAAGTAAATATCTTTGCCTGGTCGGCATGGTTTAGAGGTTGAGCTTTGACCTATGAATCAGGAGGTCACGGTTCGATTCCTGATCAGGGCCCATGCCCAGGTTGTGGGCTTGATCCCCAGTGTGGGGCATGCAGGAGGCACGTGATCAATGATTCTCTCTCATCATTGATGTTTCTCTCTCTCTGTTTCTCTTTCTCTCCCTTCCTCTCTGAAATCAATAAAAACATATTTTTTAAAATTAAGTATCCAACAGAGTCTACTCACACTGAACAGCCTTGGCTCCTTGGTGTGCGGATGAAAGCCCTTCTTCTTGCAGGTGGAGACCTCGAGCATGCCGGCACTGGTGAGCCTGAAGACGCCCGTGCTGAGTTTCAGGGTGAAGGAAAGGCACAAAATTAAGGATTGTTTGGGCTTTCCTGGTGCTTTATTTGAATGGCACAAACATATTCCTCAAATAGGAAGAAGGAAGGCACCGCCAACTGGGAATTCCACAGTGATTTTTTTAATCCATCTTAGGATGACTGGCCCAGAAACACTGGAGGGGCCAGTGCTAACTCCAACCACCTGCAAGATTGTCGCCAAGAGGCAACTGATCTGCTGGAGATACCCAGAGGAAAAGCGAGGCCCCCTGGAGGAAACTGCAGGTGGCAGATCTTTCTAATTGTTTTAACAAAAGCAATAACGGTGATAGCAAAAGCAAGTATTTACGGAGTGCTGGCTGGGATGCCAGGCACCATGCTAAGCCCTTTACATAAACCATCACCTTGAGTTTCCTGCTCACATCGACATGTGATGGGCAGGTGTCAGAGACCAAGAGGCCCAGGTTCAGGATGGTCAAGCATCCTTTTGAGGGTGCTGACTGGATTCCTATATAACTTTACATGGGCCCTGTACTTATAATTACAATAAGAATCGTCTTCCAAACCTAGAAAGGGTTTGGAGGTAATTAAACAAAGGCTGGAATTTTTCCTACCACAGGAAATAATACAGTGGAACTAACATCTCTAATGATAAACTGGAAGAATAACATCCAAGGTCCCCACTTCAAGGTCATGGTAACTGGAGAAAGAGAACCAGTGATTCCCCCACTGAAAAGGACCTTGAAAAACAAGACCACAGAGCTACAGGTACATGAGAACTGACTGCCACCAATCTTTGCCATCCCTCCGAGGGCATGGTGTGCCTGCCTTTTGGAGAGTACACGCTTGGACCCAGCAGCCCCGGTCACAGCCTCACCGGAGCCCCTCCACCTGCACTTACTCAGCCACTTACTCGTTATGCTTTGGTGAACACACAATGGCAATCGCCTCTGGCAACATGAGCTGGTAGGAACAGTGAGTGTGAAGATCGACACTAGACAAGAATGCAGTCTGGGTCGGGTGTGTCTATGAAAAGAGAAGAGGACAATCTTATCAGGGGTAGCCGGGTCTCAGCCAAGCCCACAGGCAATTCAAAGAGAAAATGCTAGTTATTTGCTATTTCTTTCTTACCATCATTAACCACATAGAAAAATTTTAAAGTGTGTGCTGACATACACCTTCCCTTTTTGCATCTTTGGAATAACTATGACTTTGAGGAGAGTTTCTTGGGAGTGCCCATGTCCTTTCTGCTTATTGGAAAAGACAGAACTGGAAACGAATCATTACAACTTATCTAAGGAGATAGCTCTGTTATTATCTCCATTTTCCATACAGGGACCCTGAGGCTCCTTTACGTAACCTGCCTGTGGTCACACAGCTGGTCAGGAGCAGAGCTGTGACTGGAAACCCAGAGGTACTTTATACAAAACCCTGAACACAAAAGGAAAGTTTTCAGGAAGTTCCCCACATGCTGCTGTTACCATCTGTGGATCGCCATTTCCTATCAATGGGAGAACGGAACTCTTCAGGTTGTTCAAGGTGTTTGGGACTCACCTTGCACAGCCAACCAATATGCACATGACCAGAAGGAAGAGGTTAAAAAGGAATTATCTTCCCGATTTGGGGCTTATATACACATGTATTTATGAGAGACAAATCAGAGGTTCATACGTGGATATGAAAAACACACGCAGCCACAATGACTTTAAAATTCACTGTCAATCCAATTACCCTCAGAAAATAAATTTACATCATGAAACCAGGTCCTCGGCATGCACTGCCTAGGTCTGGCCCCCTCCACTAGCTGCAGGGAACCATGAAGGTTCCTTAACTTCCCCACACCCATTTCCTCGACTCTAACGTAAGGGTAATCTTTTCTTCATGGGATTGTGAAAAGTAAATGAGACAATCCATGTGGAATGCTTAGCACAGTGCTTAGCCCATAGGAAGGAATCAAAACCATTCGCTGGTGTTAATTTAATGTTGTCATAACGAACGGGCATGGGCTCCTAGAACAGCTTCATGCCATTATGTAGAACAATAGCTTGTTCAAGAGATGTAAGATTTAAAAATTCCTTTCTGCTTTATTTACTAGCATAAAGATAAAAATCCATTTATATCGATTTACTGAAAGATACATGCTCTGCAAAGAAAAAAGCAACTCTCGGTCTGCAAAGACCGAGCTCAACTGAGGAATGAAAATTGCCTAATTTTGAAAAACCCAAATCTTTAGTGAAGGCATGGGTGGGAGGGCCTGATTTCCTGTTACCGGTCTCAGTGAAAACCTTCTTTTAATACAGAGAGCCGTCTATGCCTCGCCTCGGTGAGACAGTAAGATGTGTTCAGCGGAACTCTAGGTTTCTCTCTGGAGTCAGAGAACAGGCTGTCAAGCAGACCAGTCACTCCACCTGTCCCTTTCGTTCCAGACTGAAGGCACCCAAGGCATCCTGAGCCTTTTGCTGCTGCCAGGAGGAATCACTTCTACTCCTTGTCGACAACTGTCTCCTAGGAGAATGGTGCTTTCCTCTGCCACCTCCTTTATGGAAAAAAAGAACGATGATGACAATTACAATAGCAGCAGATGCCACTTATTGCAATTGAATGAATGACTTTCCATGAATGATCTCATTTAATTCTTCCAAGATGAGAGAAGTGCTATTATTATCCCCATTTCACAGATGAGGAAACCGAGCTAAGCAGAAGAGTTCATAACACACTGAAGGTCATAGAGCTCATGAAGCTGAGAAATCTAATCTCAACTCCAGATCTGATTCCAATTCAGTCCTTCTTTTCTGTGACTAATTTATATCTGGGAAAAAAAGTTAGCAGGAGAATTTGTTCTTATTATTGTGCCAATAAAAATCTTCACAAAATGTCATTACAATCACTGAAGTTTAGACATACAGCATTTTAGTGTTTTCACTGAACCGTAACAATTTGGTATAATGAACTAAACAAAAAGCAAAATCCTGGAATTCTAGAATTATGCCAAATCCATTATGTGAATGACCCAACTTCATTATTGCATACATTAGATACATAAGACATAAGGGAAAAACTCTGATTTCTAATTAGGGAAATGTTTTGTAAGATAAACTACCATTGACTTTTCGATGTTAAGTAAATTGAATGGACTGTCATTTTTTCTAAATTCATGTTACAATTTACTTGCTACATTTTTTTTTGCTTTAAAATACATTCTTGTTAACAGAAAATCACATTAAACTAAATAATGCCTTTAAAGTTCAGCAATTTAAAAAAAATAATAAAAAATAAAATTCAGCAATTTCTAAGTAAACAGTAAGGCACATTACTTACTGTTAAGTAAAACAAATAGACATATGGAATGTTTTGCAAACTCTTCATTATAAATAATCACTTGTATTTGAGAGGCAGTTTATGCTTTTCACAAGGCTTTCAAACCTGGCATCTTGCTTACAGCTCACACAAATCTGGTGAGGGAGAGAAGGTTTACATTAGCCCCACTTGGCCTGTGAGGGAAGCTGGAAGCAAGGAGGTTAGGAGTCCTGACCAAAAGCACCTGGAAATTTATAGGTGGAGCTGACACTGAATTCTCAGTCTGACTATCAGAATGATTGACTAGACAAATTAGTTAAAAAATCTCACTAGGCCTCCATTCTATGTAAATCATTTGTCAGGGGCTCTTGAAGGTCCCCAGGATGTGCCCTGGAAAGCTTGGCCAGTACCCCTTAATGGTGGGATGACTTGTCCCTACCCCAGGCCCAGAAGTGTGAGACTGAATGAAAAAAATCCCCAGAGAAATTACACTAAGGATAGAAAAGTAGAGTATTAGCACTAAAACCAACTACAATTTTCTGAGTCCCTGGAAAAATGTGCTAAGGAATTCCCTGACATTATCTCAACTAACACTCACCATCATCTTAAGTCAGTTATTCTGATCCCTGTTTCATGGATGGAAAAGCTGATACTCAGATTGCTGAAGTAACCTGCCAACGTCCCTATACTATAATGAACTCTTAGCAGAGCTGAAATTTAAACACATGTCTTTTAATTCCTAAGACCATTCCTGCGATGGCCTGGTGGGTGGTAGGACCTAATATTTTCAGCCCCATCTTTGAGGCCCTAACCCATGGCTTTTTATACAGTTTATACATCATTGGCCTACAGGGGAGGTACAGTGGAATACATGTTCCTACTTAATATGTACAAAAACCTGTTTTAAAGAAACATTTTTCCAACATTTCTTTAAAGGAAAAGGGAACATTAATAATTGTCTAGACAAATTGGTTACAAAGCTCACTAGGCATCCATTCTACTCTGTAAAAATCAGCGAAACAAGTCACTAATTTCCAAAAGTACCCTTCCTCTTTTAACCTGGAAATCACAGAAAAAAGTAAGAAAAGCAAACTATAACCTTTGTCAGATTCAGATTTGATGGATTTAGACTTAACATTGAAGAAAATGCTTTGATGTGATGCCATTTATTGGTCTTGAAAAATAATGAAAAGGTAGGGACTATTTAAAATAAGATGAATTTCCTCAAGGAGGAAAATAACACCATCACCACACACACACACACACACACACACACACACACACACTTGAGCCCCAAAGGGCAAACATACATGGATCCATCCTAGAGTGAGGAGATCGTGTTGATCCTGAACACTGAACAATTCCTCCACATTCTCCATGTCGCAGTAGTCTGGGCCTGCAGACTGCTTTGGCACAATGATGTGGGTGATGGTAAATTCGTTGTGCGTCTGAAAAACAATTAGCAGAAAGGTATCATCTACTGACAGAGGAACAAGAAGAAAACAACTAGCAGAAAAAAATTCATATAATTCTGAATTTTCTGCCCCACAACTTGCATCATCCTCTCCACTCCCCACCCTTCCCCCAATCACAATTCAAAAACAAAGTACAGATACTGAACTAGGAAATGAATTATATAGCCCAAAATGTGAGTCAGCAGTTTGGAGCGTGAAAGCCATTTTCATAACAGAAAATGTACCATAAATTGGTATTAGCATCTTAGGCTGGTCTATGGCAATTTAGTTAATAAATAATGTTTAGATATATTACATCTATAATGGGAAAATCAGAACAAAATAATAGTGGGTTTGTTTGGAGGGGAAATACTAGTTCCATACCTTTATGGTTTACTAGAGGCCATTTCTAAGGCTTTCCGAGGTTGATGGTCTTGGTTTTATTTTATTTTATTTTATTTATTTTTATTTATTTATTTATTTATTTATTTATTTATTTATTTATTTTCTTTTTTTTAAATCAATCTTTATTGTTCATATTATTACAAAGGTTCCTCATTTCTTCCCCCCTCCACCAGGTTCCAACCCCACCCTCCGACCCTCCCCATCCCCCATTGTCCTCATCCATAGGTGCAGTTTATGTTCAGTCTCTTCTTCCCTCCCTTTCCCCAATAGTAAATCCCTTTTCAGATAGTAAATCAGTTACTTAGCATTTTCTCAAATCAATAATACCTCCACATGCCCAATGATACACTTTACACAAAAGACATTTCCCAATAGGTCCACCAGCCTCATCCAGGCCCCACCCAAGGGACTCACAGATCAACACCCCAGCCCTATACTAACTCAACACATCCAGATCTAAGCCTTCATCACTTGATTCAGCAGACCCTCAAGTTCCCACAAAAGTTTCCAGCCATGTCTGAGAAGCAGCCCTGGGGCAGGGGCAGGTGAGGAGCGAGCTGTTTCGGGCCTGGCTGCTCAGGGCCTGGCCTCTGTTGCTCTGGTTCGTTCCACAACCAGCTGCTCCGGGTCTGGTCACTGCTGCTCCCGACCTAGTTGCTCTGGACTTGGCTGCTGCTGCTCCCAGCCTGGCAGCCGCTGCTCCGGGCCTGGCCGCACCCAACCAGCCTGCTCCCCCGGGCCTGGCCGCTCCCAGCCTGGCAGCCGCTGCTCTGGGCCTGGCCGCACCCGACCCGCCTGCTCCCCAGGGCCTGGCCGCTCCCAGCCTGGCAGCCGCTGCTCTGGGCCTGGCCGCACCCGACCAGCCTGCTCCCCCAGGCCTGGCCGCTCCCAGCCTGGCAGCCGCTGCTCTGGGCCTGGCCGCACCCGACCCGCCTGCTCCAGACCTGGCCACTCCCAGCCTGGCAGCCGCTGCTCCGGGCCTGGCCGCACCCGACCCAGCTGCTCTGGGCCCGGCTGCCCCGGGCCCGGCCGCTCCGAGCCTGGGCACTCCCAGCCTGGATGCTCTGGGCTTTTGGTTTTATTTTAATTATATTGGTTTTCACTTCCTTACAATTTTCTTCTACTATTGGGAGACTCACTGGGATTTTCCATAATTAGGTAATCTTTTGGATTTGCAATTAGATCAAGAGAAAGTTAAAATAAATCACCCGCCTCAGGTACAAGAGAAGAGTTGCAAGGAAGAGGGTTGTAAAGTGGTGGCAGGAACTGCAGTAAGAGCTGTTCCGCTATGTATGGCTGTCCATCCCTCCATAGCACTCCTTCTTTGCGCTTGGAAGCCATAGACTTCTCTCTAGTCTTAGGGCTCCCTGCAAATGGGCCACTCTTCCTCCAGCCTTCATTGTAGCTCTTCCCTCCATCCTACTCCCCCATCCAAGGCTCATTTTATGTCTTCTTCAGGCTTGGGGTAAGCATCACTTCTTAGACCCTCCCAGATAAGGCCAGTTTCCTAGTTACACATTCCCTTGACCCTGCACTTCCACTGAGAGCACCCAGCCCCATTTCTAATTAGTCATCTGTCTCATCTTTGCACGCGTCATGTGGCAAGGACTGTGGCTCTTGTAGGCTACCGAATGCCAACACCTAGCACAGTGTCTGGCACATCTTTGTCTGATGAAAGAAGAAAGGAAGGAGGGAAGGAAGGAAGAAAGGAAGGAAAGAAGGAAGGAAGGAAGGAAGGAAGGAAGGAAGGAAGGAAGGAAGGAAGGAAGGAAGGAAAGAAGGAAGGAAGGAAGGAAGGAAAGAAGGAAGGAAGGAAGGAAGAAAGGAAACTTAATCCAACATATAGTCCTGGGAAGAAGCATCCACAGCACATTGCCTCCTGAAGGGCAAATAAGGTGACCAAGATGGCAGGTCATTCTGCTGTGCTTGCCATCTGTGTTTCCTTTCTCCTAGAGGAAAAGGAGGATGACATGCTGGAATACTGTAGGAGAATGTGTACTGGAGAATAGAACATAGTATGCATTCCATTGAACAACAGTTCTTAAGCTGAATGTTTAGGGCTGAAAATGTTCCTGGACCCAGACATAGAAACTTATACCCAGGGACTGTGAAAGGCCAGTCCCAAAAGAAACACTATTCATCTTTCTTGCAAGAAATTAATTTCATCTTCTCTCTTTTCTTTCCTTCTACGCTGACATTGTCTTTCATCACATACTTCAGATAAAATCTTCCATACTTAAATAGGGCCTGTGCCATAGGATTTTGTTTGTTGAAACTGTTGCCTTAACGGGAACCACAAAACCCTTAGTTGAAAAAGCTGTGGCAAGACGATACCTCCCAGGGATAAAAGCAGGCAGCGTTAATTATATAAATGTGTGGGAAACTAAAATGGCAATGAAAATTTGTCTTAGAAGATTGGGTGGTTTTGAAAATCCAAAGACTTTCCATGTTCTAGAAGGATAGTTCATTAATAATGATAGTAGTTTTATGACATTCATCTCTGAAAAGTTAGTAATATTTGCAACTTCTAGAATGCTACTACGTTCTACTCTGCTGATCATGAGAACTGCCATCCATGTTCTAGAAGGATAGTTCATTAATAATGATAGTAGTTTTATGACATTCATCTCTGAAAAGTTAGTAATATTTGCAACTTCTAGAATGCTACTACGTTCTACTCTGCTGATCATGAGAACATAAGTGCTTGGGGAAGTTTCCAGGGCAGAGACATGAAACAAAGGCCATACCAGTTTTCCGCAGAGAATTCCACAGGTTTCTATTCCTCTCACTGTGTTGGATTCTGCCAGCAGCAGAAATCTGTGGCAAAGATTTCTCGGTAAAACTACACACCGTAGTCCATCAACCGCTAAATCTGAGAAACAGAAAAGGGAGATAAGTTAAAAAAAACAAATAAACAAACAAACAAAAACACACCAAATCTTACATCCCATCCTTCAAAACAGTTTTTGGCGAGTGACTGCAAATACATATAAATATCAAAAATTACATGACCGATGCTCCACTTTCCATGTGTTAGTTTAAAACGCTTAAAAGTAAACAGTGACTAGAAGGAAGGTAAAATGACCTAAACTTACAAAGAGGTGGCAAAGGACAAGCACTTTTACATTTCATGCCCCCGATCAACTATGTGCGTGGAAGCACGAGTTCTGTTCTGGCTCAGAGCCAATGTACTGTGACGTCACAGGCCACACAGACGACACCTTGCATCCTAGAAGACACAGGGTGAATACTCTTCACTGTGTCTCCCCTATGTTACTTATATCTTTAGAAAAGTTGGTGGTAAGTAAAAAGATGGTGTTTTCAAGAATGACAAGCAGCAGCTCAATGTATAAACTGGTCGTCTACCATGACTTTTAAAAAATAAATAGAAACACAAACTCCATCTGACAGTGTCTGCCGGGAAGAACTCCCCATTTGCTTCTGAGAACTTGCCAGGACAGATATGGCAGCCCCAGCAGCACTCACTGTTGGCAGAAACCCATAAACCATCTGGAGGCCCAGGGCAATGCTATCCATTTAAATTCAATCTGCCAAGCAAAGTTGGACAGACAAGTTTCTCAACAGCTTTCACCCCCAGCATACAGTGTTTAAGATTCATGTGTTTCTTCGATAAAATACATGAAAGAAACAAAATAATGCTTGGAATTCTTCTCTTTTAAACTCTCTGTACCATGACCGAATATAGTAGTCCCCTGTATCTCAGTCTCTGCTCTTGCAGGGGCAAATCCTGAATTTCCAGGTTCCATATAGTACAAGTCACATGGTACAGACGATTAGCTCTGTCTACGCATACATATGATGGAGGGGGTCCTACCACGATTGATGAGGAAATGAGGGCCCTCCCAGATGAGAAATACAGTCTCATTAGGAGAGATTCAATGTCTTGCAGGGGCCCATCACACACTTACTCTGAACAGCACTGAGGGTAGCAGCTGGCTTTAAGGCCCTGTTGACCGGAGGAGAGTGGCTAGCATAATTGGTGGCATCACTTTTATTCGCTTGGTCGGCAAATACGTTCAGCAGGGAATTGTTCTGGTGTTTGGGAAAGCAGGACAAGGCGCTGCCGTCAATCTGCTCCGACAGCGCCGGGGTTTCCTGGCTTCGCATCTGACCTCGGGCTAATTCCTGCTTCTTGAGTTGATCTTCAAAAAACAGAAACTGCTCCGTTTCCAGCTGCTGCTGGCGCATCTGAGCGATCCGCTTCCTTTCGGCCTCTATCAGTCGCTGATGTTCCAGTTTTTTGAGAATTTCGGCTCTATATTTGTTCTAAAAAAAAAAAAAATATGTGGTTGCCAGAGCAAAAAAGGTTAGTTTCCAAGGCAAGAACATCACACTGGGATTAGACATTCAATCTTCCGGCAGACAGAGCCGCAGTGAGAGTCTGCCATCTGCCCGTAGGGACACTCGTGTGACAGTGAGGAAAATATATAAGGTCACAGCCAGAGGCCCTTAACCTGATGTGGGCAGCAGTTGTAAATCCGCTCATATTTTACCAGAGACAGGCCATGACAGTCAACGTCCCTCCATTCCCCTGTGCTTTTAAATGTTAGAAAATCAAGGTCAGGATGCTTTGCTCAGCCTGACTCACCAAACCCTGGGAACAGAGTATCTCAGAAGTGGTTATATCACCCCATATTACAGTGGCTAATATAGTAGCCACTAGCCCTAGGTTGCTATTTCAATATATCCTTATAAAAGCCTAAGGGACTAATGCAACTGAATGAATAACCAAGCAGGCTTCATGGGGTGATCAGGCTGGCAGGGGAGGCAGTGAGGGGCAACCAAATGACTGAGCAGTAGGCTGCATTGAGTGACCAGGCTAGTGGGAAGGGGAGTGTAGTAGGGAGCACTCAGGCTGGCAGGTAGAGGCACTTAGGGGTGATCAGGCCAGTGGGGGGGGGCAGTTAGAGGTGACCAGACTTATGGGGGGGAGGGCAGTTAGGGGTGACTAGGTAGGCAGGCAGGTGAGTGGTTAGGAGCCAGCAGTCCAAGATTGTGAGAGGAATGTCCTGGATTGAAGAGGGTGCAGGCTGGGCTGAGGGGACTCCCCCCTCCACCACCACCACCACTGTGCACAAATTTTGTGCACCAGGCCTCTAGTTTAAATATATTAAAATTAAATGAAATGAAATTAGAAATTCAATTCCTCAGTCCTGCTAGGAATTGAGTACCATGTGGCTAGTGTCTCCCCCATCAGCAAGTTCCACAGAGCAACTCCCGTCATTGCAGGCCGTTCCATGGGACAGGCTGCTCTGAGACCCTTTGCATGTGACTCCAGAACTCCTACTGCTGGAACTTTACAGAGAAGGGGGGTCAATAAGAAACATTTCTCAAAATGTGGTCCAATCATCTCTAGTACAACAAACCTGCACTTTTGTTTAAAATGAAATTCCCAAGTTCCCATCTTATCAAAAATATCCAGCTACTATTAGGTAAGAATATGAAGTTCACCAAATAACTGTGAAATTAGACTTTGGGAGCTACTGTGAGATAGTTGGGGGAGGAGGGATAGAGAGGGCACAGCTTACAGCCACACATAGAAACCATATAGTTGTTACAGGGCAGATTCTGATTCAGTGTTGCTTGGGTGGGGCTGAAGATTCTGCATTTCTAACTGCTCCCAGGTGACACTGGTGCTGTCTGTAGCCAGGGCTCACCAGTGTATCTGTCCATCTCTCCCAGGCATAAAGGAGATTTCTACATGTCATACATGTGGGATGCGACTACTGTGGACTGTGAAGTCAGACCATGCAACAGCTGCTGAGGCTGTTTCTCCCAAGGAAATCTGGAGGGGCAATCAGACGCATTGCTGAGTATGGAAGGGAGACTTAACTGGGCTTTTTTCCCTTGCTGTTGCTTTGTCTGAGCCTCCAGAATCAGTTTTACTTTCATAGTTCACATCCAATCAAGTCATCAATATCCACACTTGCAGGAATCTTCTGATCTCAACATTTTCTCTTTCACTTAGTAAAAAACATCACTCAAACCTCACCTTTGGCTATGCTCAAAGAACATAGAAAAGTTCTGTGACCGTGTTCAGACTAACTGAAGTCGGAGTCAGCAAAGGTGATGACTCCCAGAGCACATAAATATTATACATGAACAGAAAAGGCAAAACAATCCTTGTAAGAAAGCTGAAAACATTAAGAATTCATGTTTTCAACTTGGGTCTCCTATAAACTGGCCAATATCTTCTTTCAAAGCCTTTTAGTCTCGTTATCATTTAATAAGAATCCAGAAGCCATCATCCCTTGATGATATGATTATATTTCACCCATATGATTATAATTCTACCTCAGTGAAGTATTGACTGCAGTATGTAAGAATATAATTCACATTTCCAAGGTCTGCAAATCAGATACATCAGAAACCACATACTTGTACTTCCTAGCACCTATTAGCTCCATTCATCACCAAAGAGCAGGCAGCTGGCTCAAGGTTACATTGGTAAGAGTTGATCAAAAAGCTCTATTAAAATCTCTGTAGGAAATCTATTTTCTAATGCATCACTTTATTAGATGTTGGAGGGAAATGAAAATACCACATCTTTGGTGCAAGTGCTTAACCCGGAAATCAACATGAATTTTTTATTGGTGTTACATCACTGCATCTTTAATTTTTAATAAAATGTAAATGACATCTAAAAAACTCATATAAAAATGAAATTCAAAAATATATTTGCACAGAAAAAGCATAAAACAAATGTACCAATTGGACTTACTTTGCTTTGCATATGGTCTTGGTATTCTACGTTATATTTCTTTAAAAGGTCCTTTTTCAATTCATCTGTCCTTGGAAATGCAATCTCCTTCAGTTTCTTTTAAAAATATATATATACACATATTGATTAGTGGGGTTTTCAGTATAGTCTTTCAGATCATCAGCTGAGAAAGAAAAACAGCTGGAATGTGAATCAGAAATCAAAACACAAGTAACCAAAGATGATGGTGGAAAAGAGATCTCTTTTCTAGGTTCCAAAATGTAATTTCTCGGTAGGGGAGGGGAGAAATGATCCTGTCTGCAATGCTTAGCTGCATTTAGTTTGGGTAGATGCCCCATTTTGAGGCAGTGGATTTGCAACTTCACATTCCACAGTATGTAAAGATATGTCATCATATTCAGAAGGGATACTGAAGAACATGATAGATAAGTGCTCTTAGGTTTGACAGACTATAAAATGCACTGAGGAACGCTCCATAAAAACACAGATTCCTAGGCCTAAACCCAGGTTTACTGAATCCACATCTTTATTCGAAGGGAAAGGGTTGGGGAATCTAGATCTCAAACAACTTCCCAGTGACTCTCAATGGCTGAGAAACCTGGCATAGTGCAAGCACAATCCCCCACCTCTCTCTTTAGAGATGAGGAAACAAAGGCCTAGAGAAATTAAAAGGCTTGCCCCCTATCACTGAAATTCAGATCTCCAGGCTCTTTCACTAAACTTCTGTTCTCATAATCTTTTGTCATCATCCATTCATCCATCCATCCAACAAGCATAAAGACATGCTTCTGAATAATTTTTCCTACAAGCAAAAACAAGAATAACCCCAAATTAGAGTAAATGAGTCACATAGGCAGCCTGGGAACTTTTGTTTCCAACAGAACCCTCTGAGGTTGAATGAGCAAGAGAATTAAGGGCAAATGCTACACAATGGCATGGGAATGAATGACCCTTCAGGCAAGTGTGCATAGGAAATTTTTAAAATAGTGATGACCGTTTGACAAAATGTGAGTTCTGCTTATAGGCAGCATCAGGCATTATGTAACTGGTAAGAAAGCCTTTATTCCACTACATGGTATAACAACTCTCTCTTTGGAGAGTTGTTTAACATTTCATGCTGTAATTGGCTTTGTCTACATTGTTTATCTTCCTTCATATAAAAGCAACCCAAATTATTTAAGACTAATATATGAAAAATATATTATAAATGTTACTTTAAAAGGATTCACTTCTCAGGTAAAGATATTTGAAACTATATATGTTGTAAATGTTGATGAGGAATAAATACATTTCAACAATCTGCCTTTTCCTTGAGAATATTTTGGGCTCCCCCCTAAACCCTAGCACCTTAATACTCAATGCCTTTCAAAGTTTGGGGGTTCGGGACTGCATGGAATAATTACACCCAGCCAGAATGACTCAAGGACGGAGAAATAGATAGCCATTCTGTCAAACTCTGAGAGAAATGGTGAGATAATTTCTTCTTCACGTCATAAAGTGATTGAGCACATTCTTGTTCTGTTTCCTCTCTTCCCCTTCCCTCCACTTCAGTTCCAATTAGACATCCCACACTGGCTCAGAAATGATGATTAAAGGTCAAAGAAGAAATCGAAACATCATGGCTAATGGAATGAATCTTTGTGCTTCAGCTCTCAAGAGGATGAGACAGAGGAGGAAAGGAAGGGGGTGGGAACCAGTAATGGATACTTGTGGGACATTTGATGCCACAGGGGAGAATCGACCCTACAATACCTTCATAATGTCCTGCTTCTCAGGGACTGCACATTGCTGGTAATCTCGATGGCTGGGAAGCTTTTCTACAAACAAGCTAGAGAAGGAGAAAGCAAGTCTCAGCATTATCTGACAGAAAAAGATGAATGATCGTTTTACTATGAGAATGAGCCTCCCTTTCCAAAAGGACACGCTAAGTAAAGTATTATTTAACCTATATTCATTTCACCTGCCTAATGGCATTGAGCATGATTTTGGCTTCATGAGAGTGTTAAGCTCAGTAAACTAAGCCCTGAGGTTAAGAGGGTCAGGATGATTCCTAAATAGACCAGGAATCACTTGGTCTCTCTCAAGGTTCTGGCTACTGAATCCCACCATAGCACCATCATACTTATGCATGAAGCTGGCAACAGAGTATCACGTAAAAATGTAAGAGTTTGGAAAGAGCGATATGATCCCTTCTCATGATTAAAAAAAGACTCAAAAGGCCAGTGGTGATTCAGTAGTGTCATGGTGGATATATCAAAAATTCTCAATTGAAAATTTGTAACCAAGAGAAATAACAGCCAGAATCCCTAGTGCCGTGGTTGGCAAACTGAGGCTCTCAAACCACATGCGGCTCTTTGGCCCCTTGAGTGTGGCTCTTCCACAAAATACCACGGCCTGGGTGAGTCTATTTTAAAGAAGTGGCATTAGAAGAAGTTTAAGTTTTAAAAATTTGGTTCTCAAGAGAAATTTCAATCGTTGTACTGTTGATATTTGGCTCTGTTGACTAATGAGTTTGCCAATCACTGCCCTAGTGGATTAGGCGCCAATTAGGAGGTAAATTATTTTTCTTGTTCCATTTTGAGGATCCAAGGACAGCAGAGGTAAAGGCAAGTTCTTAAAGCCAACCAGGTACATCACTTCCAGATCCAATAAACTAAAAGTAATGCTTCCACGAGATATTGTTTCCATGGGGTTTTCTTACTAATGTTTCCCCAGCCTGGACAGTAGTGTACTGCTCAGAATAAGTGCTCAATAAATATTTGTTCATTGATTGTGATAGGCTATAAATACTATTTTGATCAGCTAATTGGTGCTAACTTATAATCACTGATGTTCTGCTGTTTACAAAGCACGCATGAATTCGTCATGTCACCTATAGGGTAGGCTGGAATGGTATCCTAACTCTCAATTCTCAAGTGAGAAAATTAAGGCTTTAAGAGGCAACATAAATTGTTAGTTGCCTTGGTCTTTTTATTTATTTTTTATTTTATTTTATATTATTTATATTATTTTTTTATTTTATTTTATGTTATTTTATTTATTTTTACATATTTTTTTGATTTTTTTTTGCCCCCCTCCCTCCCTTCCACATATCCCCTCCCTCCCCAGAGTTTTATGTCCATTGGTTGTACTTATATGCATGTATACAAGTCCTTGGGTTGATCTATTATGCCTTGGTCTTTTTAAATAGAATAAGTCACAAACATTTTGAGTTGAAGAGACCTCAGAGATATTCATCCTCAAGTCATCTGTAGATAAGGAATTGAGGCCCAGGGAAGGTAAGTGAATTACCAATTACCACGTGAGTAATGACCGGATGGGATTAATACATTCTGATTAGTTAGTAATTGAGAGTATAGTGGCCTTTCCCCTTTCCACACCTTCAATTCCATAGAAATGTGTGCAAAATTTGAACAGAAAGTGAAAAGAAATATTATCAGTTGGTAACCTGTACTAGTTAGGGAATTAAAGTTTTTTGGGAAAATGTGCTATTGATGACAATTGATAACCTCCAATTTCATATTTATTGTTTAACCTTCTAGAAACAATTGATTGTGCCAGGTGGACCAAAGGTTACCAGCCATCGACTTCTCAGGTTAAGTCCCCAACTGAACTAGTGAAATTAATCAACAAGTGACATTCAATTAAAACAAAAATAAGGGTTTCAGCTTAGATTAAATAACTAATAGATCTTCCCAACCAGTAAACTGGCAAATTGGTAAAGAAAATCCAAACCCCATTTCTGTTCAGTCTTAAACTAGGGTAAGTTACTAACAATATATATCTAATGAGAAGTAAGATATTTTCACATGGCTATTTTGAGATAGCCACTTTCCCTCAACATTTTGGAAATTCTTTTATATTTAGCTTATTACACAGCTAAATAAATTGTTTGTGTTGGTTGTTATCTTTTTGTTGTTGTTGTTTTTAATAATTACAGTGTCAAACTGAGACACTCTATCCTGGAATAATTATATCCTTTTACCATTGCTAACTCTCCCCCAGACTTAATCTATCAAATCAAATTTTTAAAAAGTGAATGGCATGTTCCAGAGGCTGTAGAGAGAGCTGCGCTGTGGCTCCTGCTCTCACAAAGCTTGCATTCCTGCCAGGGTAAATGGCATGAAATAAGAAATGTTACTTGAGAAAAGTAAAATTAAAGGCAGGGGGCATGCAGGTTGCCACGCTGGCCCAATGAGAGGGAATCTCATCCCTGATCTTCTCCCACGCCTCCCACATGATAGGGGGTGGGAGGACATTTACTTAGTCATTTAAAAACCGACACATTTCATGTTTTTGGAGATTGTAAAATTGATCTAAATATGAAAACATTCCCGGCATCCAAACTGTCTCACCAACATATCACGTCGATACATTTCCAATTCTCTCATTATAGAGACTTACGTTATAAACTTATTATACAGAACAAAGGCATTTTCCAGGTTTCCTTCTTCCAGGTACACGGATGCCATCCTCTCCATCTCTACTCCGGATCGGAAGTAGCGGCGCGGAGTGATGTCCTCGCTGATGGTGATGTTACAGCCGAGCTTGCTGAGGGCTCGGACCCGCTCCTCCGGGCTCAGGGACACGTCCGTGTGGTCGGGCATAGCAGCTAACTTTTTCTGCAAAGCAAAATTTCAACCTCTGATTATATAAGAAGAAACGAATCTGACTGAAATGATGGGTGATTTTCTGTCCTAAATACCTGATGCCAATGTCTAAGGAAAGCTTTTCATAAGACTTGATAAGATGATGAAAGCAATGTCTTTTTTGCTTCAACAAGTGATCTACACACACAAAAAGATGCACATCTCCGAGGATGAATATACTTTTTTTTTTCTTTTTTGAGGGAAGATCTCAAGGTTTTAGAGCACAATTATGTGGTAGTTCCTGGTATACAAATGTGGAAGGTGATTTCAAGTGAAATATCACTGATTCTTTTTCTTCATGGTCGCTTCCATCCTGGGCCGCGGGAAGCAGACCAAGAAAAGGATTTCTGCCAGGGGAAGGCTTGTGTCCTTCCACTCCGAAGGGTCTCCAAGATACAGCGATGAGGATTCAGCTCTGTCCCAGAACATATCTAGTTTAATATGGAGATTCCAGGGCCTCTCTGCATCTATAAAACTCCACAGATAATTCCCAGAGAAGCCTTTCCTGGCATATGGACACCTATCCCCCCACCCCCTTTTTTTAACAGCAAGAAGACTCTCAGACAGCCACATAATAGTAATTACACTAATTCACCCCTGACTGCAAAAAATAATAAAACATTACTAAAAAAAAGTCAGGGATATGAATATATTTGTATTTTATTAATAAAAACAGACATCCGTACACATCTGGAAAAACACAACATATACACATGCAAAGTAATAATTCAATGATTCGGGAGAAAGTGCTTCCAAAAGGCAAAAAAGTCAGCAATTTTTTGTTTGTCTGTTTTCTGTTAAAGGCCATCAGCACCTAGTTTAGGCTTTGAGGGCCATCCTGTCTCCACCCCAGCTATTCAGCTGTGCTGGTGTGAAAGCAGCCACACCTCATGGTATTTAACACAACGATCCTGGCTGTGTTCCAGATTTTTACTGACAAAGACAAGCAGATGCACTGGGCCCTCCGACCACAGTTTGCGGACCCCTGCTTTAGGCCAGTGCTTCCCCGTGCCCGCAGCATCTGCACCCACCAAGCTTCTCAAAAATGCAAATTCCTAATAGGCCCCATCTCACTTCCACAGACTCAAAGCCTCTGGAGATAGGCTAGGAGTTGTAACCCGTTTCCCAGAGACCCTTACGCATGTGACAGTTTGAGAAGCACTGCTTTAGAACACGCTACCAGTTCTTGATGCTCCCAAGAATGGAGTTATCCCAGAACAAACTGAGCTTCCCAAGTCTCTCTCAGGTTGTCAGAGGGTAGGCTGCAAGTCTCACTACGGTGTGGACAGAGCATTTGATTAAGATCTGTAGAAGATTTAAAAAGAAATCAAGGTAGACATAGTTTTAATCTGGCCCATGAATTACTGATCCAGTCTCCAGGGGCCAGGAGCAGTGAATTAAATCCCTGGAGTTTTTCCAAAGCCATCTGGTCTACCTGGGTGGTAATTTTATATCAGATAGAATCCTAGAGACCTGGAATGACTCTTACTTCTAGAGGTTTAATATTTAACCAGAGAGCCATACAGAACTGGGTTTCTCAGGCCCACATGAAGTCCAAAGCAGGTTATGCCTCTTGCACCTTCTATCACACTTTTGACGAGGCCTGCAGTAATGAGGGTGTGTTTCCTCCTCCCTGTATCTTTCTCTCCAAGGATGGTTTCAGAGCCTGGGCTTCCCAACCTGGAGGCCTCTAGCTATCCCTCCTGTGACTGGGTGGGGAAGCCAGTTCAACTTAGAGCAAAAGAGAAAAGAAGACCTATCAGTTTCCCAGATCAGTCTTGACTGTGAATATAGGCACCTTATAGCACCTCCACAGCCCCGTTTTGTACTCTGTGCCTTATGACAATTGGAAACAACATTTTTAATGTTCCTTCACTCCTCAAAAGTTGGACCCGTTGTGTGTAGAGGGTATGCAATATACTGCTGCTCTCAGGGTTACCCACCGGGCTGCAGGGAGTGGGCTGGGGAGAGTCATTAGGAGGGAGGGTAGGTAATGACAACTTTCACTTATCGAGCCCCTGAAATAGGCTGGGGACATTAAAAATATTGTTGCCAATCGTCAAAAGGCACCGAGTACAAAAACAGGGCCATGAGGGTTATATACTGTGCCTATACGCACGCTCGAAGACTGATCTGGGACACAGAATAAGCCCATGTGATATCAAGGCCCCTGTTATTTCCTCTCCTGCACACACTTCCTCTACGACGGAACTAGAGAAAATGTGCACGGTGTTGGGCTGAAAGTGGAAAAGCGAGAGAAACAAGAGTTTCAAGAATGCAAACATTTACACAAGATCCCAAAGCAATACTTAGGTGTTAATTCTAAAATGCTTCCCTGGATCATTACCACGCGAAGTAAGCCTCCACTTTTTATCTGAGGCCCAAAGAAGTGGTAGATGGACCTGCTGCAAAGTCAGCTTTGGCATTCTTCTCAAATAGTGTGAAGAAAGGACTACACTTCTAGAACCTAACCGGATAAAGCAGCACTTCACAATCATGTGGAAGAAATTATTTTTAATTCTCGCAAAGATGGCTTTATTAGTCACTTCCTCAAAGGAGAGGACCACACAGATGGATGACAAATGACAAGTGCTAAACTTCTCGAAGTAACTGTGATTCATTTCACATTTGGTTTGTTTCCGTTCCCCTTTTTGGGTTTTCCATCCATGTGTGAAACACCAGTTGGTGCTTCTTACCAGAGAATTCACAGTAAATGGCTGGTCCATGGTGTCCTGACTCCAAAATGAGGGTGTCCAATGTTTCTTCTCAATCACTTCATCTGTCTCAAAAACAAAAAAGCAGAGCTTAGATTATTTTTTAAATTATTTTATTTTATTATGTATTTTTAATTTTATATTTTTATTGATTTCAGAGAGGAAGAGAGAGGGAGAGAGAGATAGACACATCAATGATGAGAGAGAATCTCTGATTGGCTGCCTCCTGCATGCCCCCCACTGCGGATTGACTTTGCAACCCTGGCATATGCCCTGACAGGGAATCGAACCATGATCTCCTGGTTCATAGGTCCAGCTCAACCACTGAGCCATCCTGGCCGGGCTCAGGTTATTTATTTATTTATTTTTTTAAAACTCCTGCCTGAAAGCTAAACCTTGAAGGTTCTGTCTGCCTCAGAAGAATATGAGCAAACTGAAGTAACTTTAATCATCTGTTTTTAGAGCGACCGACCATTGGAAATAAATTCCTGAAAATACAAAACTGCAGGTGGCTATGGTTTTTTAAATGTGGAGATGTGAAGAAAATTAATTATCGCATAGCACCCAGAATGAATCTGCTGGGCATTATCTTACTCTGAATTCTATGCAATGTTATTAAGTGGGTTTACCTTCTTCCAAGTGAGAAAGATCATAGTGGTTAAGAGCATGAACTCGGGGGCCATGGACTCTCTGTTTAAGTCAGTCTGAGCTTAAACTAAGCCCTACCAGCTATGGAAGTAGAATTCTAAGATGACTCTGGGATTCCTGCCCCTTGGTATCTATGGGTTAACTCCCATCCCCCTGAGTGTGGACAAGACCTGTAACTGGCATCTAATCAATAGAATATAACAAGGGTGATGGGATATTCCTCTCATGTTTACATACGTTGTAGGGCAAAGATGAAGAGATTTTGCAGATATAAGGCCCCTAATAATATGATGTTATGTTAACCAGAGGGGATATTCTCCTGGGTGAGCCAGACATGATTAGCTGAGACCTTTCAAAGAGGGAGACACTTTCCTGCTGGCCTTGAAGACTCAGCCACCATGAGCTCCACAGCTGCGGGGCAATGAATTCTGCCTATAACCCCGTGGGTTTAATAAAGGACCCCAAGACTCAGTTGAAATCCTTACCCTGCTGGACACCCCCATTGCTGCCTTGTGAGACCCCAAGCAGAAGACCTAGCTATTCCCAGACTCCTGACCCACAAAACTCTGAGATAATAAAGTGATGACACTGGTGGAGATTTGTAAAGCAGCAATAGAAAACAAATTTACTAATTGTGCGACTGTAGGTAAGTTATCTACTCCTTCTGTTCATCTGAAAAAATGGGATAAATAATAGTAACTCTGTCTTGCAGTTGTGATAAGGATTAAGTGTTTAGAATAGTTTTTAGCACACAGCCAATATCCTATAAATCTTAACTATTATTAGAATCTTTCTTTTGCAGATGAGGCAACTGAGGCTCAGAGATGTGAAGTGAATATGCCCAAGTTCAAAGAATCACTCAAACGTGAGCCTCCTTCTTCTTTATGGTAGTTTACATCAAGCTTTGCATCACCACTTCCTATTTCTTCTAAAAGTATTTTGGCCTGTATATGCCACTGGTCACTGATGTGATGATGGATACAGACAGACCTCCTTGTCAGCTCCTCGTTTATGAAACGAGAGGGGTAAACCACATTCTCTCAAGTTGTAACATTCTGTGATTCTAGAAATCTCAGAAGCAGATCATTCAACCCATCTGTTATTTTTTTGTTATTTCCATGGTTGAAAAACCCTTTCCTTCAAGGAAAGTCACACGGCACATTCTAGACTTTCCCCTTTTTTCTCTCCAGGGATCCCTGGAGATCTAAGCTTGCAGGCTGCAGAGATGGGCCAGAAAGAAATAATAACCTGGAGAGAGTCATGGTCACAGTGTAGTTTAACACCCAAGTTAATTCAGGCACCATTGAATGCAGGCAATTCCAGTTGGGGAATTACCACCTCTCAGTGAGAAGAAATAAACCAAGAGAGAGAAAAAACAAACAAACAAAAAACAAGTGTTAAAGAGACAGAACAAAGAGGCTTTTGGGGGAATTTGGAGCTGGGTGGGAAGAATTACTAGTCATTGATTAGGGCCTTGCAAAACCTTCTGCGATTACTCAGATCTCTAAACCATAACAAAACAAAACAAAACAAAACAAAAAAATCATTTAAGAATTGGAAACATAAGAACCAGTGATTCTTAAATTTCACTTTATCTAAAAATTACATAACCTTGGGACTTTTTGTTTTTATTTTATTTTTCCTTTTTAAGTCTTCGTTGTTGAAAATATTACATACTCGTTAATGTAATTTTCCTTTCCCCCATTGTAAACGTAGGACTTTCTACAAATGCAGTCTCCTAGAACTCCACAACTTCCTGATTTAACTCCATCAGTTTTAACCACACCCATAGGCACGACATGTTAGGATGTGGCCCAGGTGATTTTGACACAGGAGGTTTCATAAGCAATCCTTCTAGAGACACTGCATTTGAGTGTATCAAGCAGAATGCTTGTAAGTAAAAGCTGCCCCCAGCTTGCAGGCCCCCAGCCAGCCAAGATGGGTGTCAGCAGAGGCCTCTCCTCACCCCCTTCCCAATTACCTCACTGGTTGCCCAGCAGGGGGCATGGCTATTGAGCGGGTGGTACTAGGCTGGCCAAGGCAGTTGGGAGCTGGAGGCCCTGATCACCTCGCCGATTGCCCCACAGGTTGGCCCTGATAGCTGGCCAGGCCTATGGACTCTACCTGTGCGCAAATTTCATGCACCCGGCCACTAGTAAGTTTCATAATATTACTGAAACATTATTTGCTTTTTTACCATCAACCTCTAACAACTGTATAGTGGGGAATTCCAAAGGTTCAAGTTCATGCAATGCTTACTTGAATGTGCCTATAAATATCTGTTTTAGCTTTTAACATGGTAAATATAAATGTAAGTAACCCACACAGAACTTTCTATTGTACTTAGTAATTTTTAAGAATGCAGAGAGGTCCCAATACCAAAACTGCTGCTCTACATCAACTATGCACGCAAACACACACAGCAAAAGAAAACAGAGCATGCTCCTCCAATCTAACCAGACACACGGAACAATCTAAAAGAGGCAAAAATGAAGGTCAGGGGTCGCCTTCCATGTGTGCTACTGGGGTCTGCTAAAATAATTAGAAAACTGAGCATACAGTAAGAGATACCTTACCTCATGCGGCCCATGGAAGTAAATGCAGCACACGGCTGCCTGTTCTGCCATACCCATTCTCTTTTTCTAATATAAAAGTATAATTTTTAGCCGCTACAAAGCCACCCAGGTAAAACCTACATTTTCCACACCACCAAGCTCAGGCCAATGGGGTTTGAATAGAAGTCTGGATCCTATCCTTTAAAGCAGTATTTCCCAAACCTTTGACATATGTGTACCCCTTCTACAATTTTCGTTAACGCTGAATACCCCTCGTACTCATGAGAACGTAAAATTAGGTGCAGCTAAGCACGGTGCAGTGCATATCGCCACCAAACTCCAGTGCAACCCGTACCCCCACCAAACTCTTCCCGTACTCCTGGGGGTACGCGTACCACACTTTGGGAAACACTGCTAAAGGAAGGGACATGGCCTTCTCCGTCGCCCTTGGCCTTCCTGCGGGCTGGAGTACTGTCACACAGGTGAGCCATCCTCAGTCACCAGGAGGAGCCATGGCAAAGCAAGAAGAGAAGGGGAGTGGTTTAGTTTGCTTGCACGCAGACCAGTATGACAGAGACCAATTTCCATCCTAATACTTTGTCTTTGTTTAGGCAGCTGTATCCTGACACATGCAATACGTTTAACCTAGAAAGGATGATTCAGTGCAGCCCGGGGAGACTATTGCCAATACAGATAATGAAATACAAATCTTCCCTAATCCCTCCCACCTCAGCACGAAGCCTGTCCCGCCTCCCTCCACACCTTTGGCCCAGGTACAGGGACAAACAGAACTATCCTCACTTCCTCCTTTCCTCCCACAGGGATCCCGAAACCTGTCCAGCCTGAGAGACCCCACTTATCCAACCAGAAGTTTCACTTCTTTAGAATCAGTATCACATAATCCCGCAAACATAACAGATATAGGCAACAGTCCCAAAGGCAATATATGGTCATCATAAATGTTTAATTTAGCTATTACAGTAAACTTAAATCCTTAGTTAGTTACTAAAATTTAAAAATTGGGAGATTCATACAAAAATTCAGATTTCAGCTTCTCTTAAAAATATTATATATATCAGAGGATCTGGCACCACTGGGCCCAGTTTCTGGAACATTTCGTTGTTACTATTTATCTTCTATCCTGCATTTAGAACAGTACCTGCTACTTAGTAAAGGCTCAATATATATTTGTTAAATTAATGAATGAAGGAGCAATTTTCTTAAAGTACACAGTGTACTTCCCATCACATTCCCAGGCATGTAATAGAAGCTTAGTAAATATTTTGCTCTAGATCCATACTAAAATATGCCCTCTCCCCCCCACCCCCCCAAAATGCACCAGCCTTTAAAAACTTATAAGTAGTTCACTTAATTCCCTCAATACAGGTTTATTCATTGTTTCAATCACATGTTCATTCAACAAACATCCATTGTCCACTTAGGATGTACCAGGCATTGTTCTAGGTATGTGGCATGGATAAAGTTTGCAAGATTTCTGCCCTTGTGGAGTCTACATTCTGGTCAGGAGAGACAGGTTAACAGTAAACATTTTGAATAAATAAAGTACATAGTACGTTTGAAGATAATGTGTCCTCTTAAAAAAAGAATGAGTGGAGACAAGAATGATGAGAAAAGAAATCAGTGAGGCCAGGAAAGTAAGGAGGCCTTACAGATCAATATTCAGACTTTCATTGTCCTTGGAGTGACATGGGGAGCTATCAGAGTGTTGAGCAAAGGTGTGATGTAAATGACATCATTTACAAAGAGGCCTGTGAGTGTGCTGGTGAGGATAGACTATGGGGGCAAGGG